TAGCGAATGTTTGCCAGCTCTGCACCTGTGTGATTCCATATTTATTAAAGCAAGCCTATAACTTTGGTTTCTGAATTCTGACTCTAAATATATTTCCTGGGGAAAAGCATCACTATTGCTATTGCTGGTGCTTAAAAAGGATGCTATAACTTTAAAGTGAAAAGAATAAAATCTACACACTTTCTTGGTCACTTGTTCCATCTATCAATTACATTATATCTATATTAAATTACAAGGAAAAGTGCTGCAATGAATAATGTCAGTGAAGCATGCACACATTGGCCCAGAGCTAGATCTGTCTGCTGGGGTATCTATAGTGGCGGCCCCAAAAGATCTACATGGCAGCCATGATTACACAATCAAAACTCAGCTTTCTTTTTTCCTCATATGGCACATCACTCATATGAAATGGAGCAGTGCTCCAATTGTGCAATTGCCGCTGCCATTCTGAGTTCTCTGTGGACACACCACTTGTTTGCTCCCCATCATCTGTCTGCATCTGCTTTATCATTACTGTCCCCTCTGCTGAGGCCTTGCTCTATGGTCTGGGCTAGTATGTGCATGCTTGACTGACATTACTCATTGTAGCATTTTCCTTTTTAATTTAATTTGTTCAATATGCTGTTGTTTATAAGTACTGAGGACCCTATACAAGACTGCCTTTCATCTACAGCTGGCATAGCTAAGACCACAGCATTCAGAGTGCTCTCATTCAGTTAAAAATGACTGAATGTTGGAGCTTAAAAGAGCTTTAATGCAATCTCTTTTTCTAAAGAAAAGTTAAACAAACCCAAAATGAGAGAGGGAGAGGGGGAGGGGGAGGGAGGGAGAGAGACAGAGAGAATACTTGTGACTAGTTCTTCATGCTGTATCCCAAAGATGCTTTTTGTCCAAAAGGCATCTGGACTTTCTTGGGGTTTTTTTTCCTCTGAAGAACCGAAGAAGCTTCTTGGACGAGAAGTGAAACGTTTTCAAAGAAAAGAATGAGAAAGTCCAGTTGCCCTTTGGAAAAAAACACTTTTGGGACAACCATGACCAGGATGATTGAGAATTTCTATAGACATACATGCTGCATCGCCTCTACAACCAACACACAAATGCTTTTCTTCCCTTTCAGTTGTAGGCAATCACTTCAAATTTTATGGAAAAAAAGAGGCAGGCAAGGAGAGGTGTTGAGAGTGCCAACTAGCACGGAAAGGGTTTAGTGTTTTCGCTGTGACAGCATTTGTTGAGCATTTTTACATTTAAAACCATATAATAGAATAGATAATTCTATCCAAAGTTACATTTTCTATAGAATTTATAATAGAATAGATAATTCTATCCAAAGTTACATTTTCTATAGAATTCAGTGTCTTTGGCCAAGGTGAGTTTCCTGTATATTTTCTCATAATCTAAATTTGATTTTAAAAAATCTGGGCAGATTCAAGCCACACAATGCCTATTCATGCACCCAGAAAAATACATTTCATTTATTTGTCTAAGTTATAGATTTATCAGGTTTTGATAGCCTCAAGTATTATGTAAAAAAATAAATGAGACATTTTAAAAAGAAATACAAATAATGATGCTGCATAAGCGTCACCAAAATTAAGCATAGCAAAGAAACAAACCACTTTCCATTTTCAAAACTTTCTTTATGTGCTATAATTTCTATAGTATTTTTAAAACGTTTTCAGAGACATCATATGGGTGGGAATAAGAGGAAGTTTTACAAATTAGGTATGCATTCCGCAATTATAGTGGTATATATTGTAAAAAAAAATATCTGCTTTTATGTTTTTGCAGTAAAGATCATCAGCTAATGTAAATTTTAGAAAGATAGAATCACACTATCTGAGTTTCTATTTATATAAAACTGTGTTCCCAAAGAATGTGATAAATGGTGTGATAAATATATATCTTTTCGATATAAACATAAAAATTCTCTAAGAAAATAAACATGTCATATATTTTAGAATCTGTTGGCTCCTTAGTGAAGTAGGGCAAATTTTCTGCGTTTACAAAACAACAGCAACAACCAGCAGCTGCAATGGAAATGGTTTATATATATATATACTGCTCAAAAAAATAAAGGGAACACAAACGTATAGGATCCTATACCTTTGTGTTCCCTTTATTTTTGTGAGCAGTATATATATATAATGAAGAGGGATTTTTAAAAAACATATTCAAGGATAGGGAGCTCAAAAAGTAATTACTTTAAATTTATTATTTTAAATAATAATTGAAGCATAATGTTCAGCACGAAAATGCTTCACATTTTTAGTGTAATCATCCATTTTAAATACAATCATAAGACGTTTTACCCGGTAAAGAAAACAGGAATATTTAGCCTCATGACAAAGCAAAGATGCAAAAATCAACATATGGTATTCCCAAACACATTAGTTTATTTGTAGAGAATTATAGGATACCAGAACAACAGCACATTATGGAAAGATTCTTATTTTTGTGCTGAAGTAGGACGAACTAGGCAGTGATATGAATTGAAAACAAAACTCTGAGTTTGAACATGAATTTTTGGTATCCATCTGTAATATCTGACAGTAATAATTGCTTTTATTGTTTTTATATATTTATTGTTTTAGATTGTTATATGTTGCCCAGAGTCACCGTGTGAGATGGGCAGTTCTATAAATTTTATAAACAAACAAACAAACGTGTGTGTGTGTGTGTGTGTGTATGTATGTATGTATGTATGTATGTATGTATTTATGTTACAATCTCTAACATGAGCTACTGTCCTGATTTGGTCCTCTTGTGTCCAACAGGAATTAGAAGTTAAGTTTGTTTTACCTTAAAAACACATTACTATGAGTAACAGTAGTTTTCTCATTCAATTTATGTTGTGACTTCGGATAAGATCAGTATATCAGATAATCTTTTCAAGATATAGTTATATTCCATATATAAAACATGTGTATTCCATAGTTGTGGAATTGTGCCTGCATTGGCATGAAAGGAAAGGGGGAAGGGGAGGATAGGATAGGGTAGGATAGGATAGAATAGAATAGAATAGAATAGAATAGAATAGAATAGAATAGAATAGGAAAGAGGGAAGGGAAGGGAAGAGAAGGGAAGGAATAGCATTAAATGTAAACCATGGCAAGTGTATTGCCGTATAGATTCACTTTTTGCAGGACATTTAGTGGAATCAGTTTGCTTAGATTAGAACTGAAAAAAACATCCTACTTTGCCTTTCCCCCTCCCACTGCAATTAATTAAAGAACTGACTCGATTTCCTTATTCTGGTTTTCCAGTTGTAACCTAAGATCACCCTTCTATCTTCAGTACTGCAGGTAATTTTTCTTTTTTATTTACAATAATTATATTCGCTGGGTAGCTTGAGTGACTGGTGCAGCCTTCTGCTGAAATACTGATTCTCTGCTAGTCCTGCCAATTTTCAGCAGACACAATTCATGATCTCTAGTTAATTAAAATATAATGAGGGTGTGAACAGATAAGGAGGCATTGATTAATGACCAGGTAAGTGGATATATTAACAGGAAGACAGGTTTATATAGTTCAAAATGAATCAACACTTGGTACAAATAAGTACCAAGAATTCAGCAACAAATCTCTACCCAGACTATATACATATTTAATTACAGCTCAGTTTAATGGCTGCAGTTATATGGTGGGTAGGTCTGCAGCACTCACATAGATTATATCCTGTATTAACTTGTGTTTTCACATCAATCTTCCTTCTTTGGCTAGATTGACTAGGTTGGCTTGTGCTTTTATATTGGAACCTAGATTTCTTTCACCTAGAAAGTGGAATTTTTCAAATCTTCAAAAATGTTCATAGTTTTTAGAAATATAATATAGCTAGTCCTTGACACAGTCCTTAAGTAAATCCGGCTTCTCCCATTGACTTTGCTTGGCTGAGAAGGTCACAAATAGTGATCACATGAGGCCAGGATGCTATAACTATAGTAAATACATGCTGGTTGCCAAACGTCCAAATTTTGATCATGTGGCCATGGGGATATTATGACGGCATATGAGGACCTATCATAAGCGACCTTTTTCAGTGCTGTTGTAACTTGAAACAATCACTAAATGAAAGGTTGCAAGGTGAGGACTAGCTACATGTGCCCAAGCTGAGATTCTGACGTTTTTAGCCCATTATTGACCCCACAAAAGCAGAGCAATCTCAGAGGCATTACATTCATTCACGGGGCCCTGAAGAAGCCTCTCTATAAATATATGCGCCTCATGTTTATCCAATTTTTTTTTTGCTAGAGCTGGTTATTGAAAGTTCTCAGCAATTTATAAAATATTAGCAATGAAAACATAGTTTAAAACAGGTAGCAAAATAATGGAGGTCATTAGCAAGCTAGCCCACCAAGTTTGTGAAAAAAATATAGATAGGAGCAGCAACTGTCCAGCCATTTAAAACTCTTTATGCACATGGAAAATTTAATTGTAGCCTTCTTAAAAATGGAACACTTTAAATCAAGTACTGGGGAATTTAACAGGCACTTTGCCACAGAAAGGAATATCAAAGATAGGAAAGGTGTAGTGAAAACTCCAACTCCAGCTTCCCCCGCCCCCGCCCCCAAGCCCACTACTGTGAGGGAAGGAATCGATGACAGAGCAGAACCTATGAGACAAAGGGCCTTGCACAGAATCGATAATGGAATTCCTGGGCTTTGCACAGCCAACCCAAATTTCTTGCCAGAGGAAGCAAGAAGATATGGGAACACTGCATGCAACCCTCCCAGGAATGGGACGGGTCTAAAAGTTTCCAGATGAAAGAATTCAGTGATTCTTTAGTTTTTTCCCTTCCCCCAAGTATTGAAAGCCCTTCATACGCCCCTAGCTCAAAAAAAATTGACCCCAAGAAGAGTATCAGTCTTGCCTTTGTCTAATTAGATTGAAAGGGCTGGAGCTCAAGCTTAGCAATTGGGGCCTTATAAAAGTTTCTAAGTGATTTCTACTCTCTGCTGAGAGTTGAACTTGTGCAGATAGCGTAGCCTTGTAAAATTACTCACCCCACATCTCCACCAACATCAGTGGGATAAAGTCTAGAAGGTGCGTGGATTTCATTAGTCTGTTCCACCACATCCGATGTATACAAGCGCCCCTTTTCTGTCCTTGCCGTGGCTTTCTGCTACCTGCTATGGGTGAAGGGAGGGGGTAGGGAGATAGATTGAGTGCTTTTCCTCTCCCTCTCCCTCCTGATGTGGTTTTTTTGCGTCATTTCTCAATGTGTGGAGTGTGCTTCACTAGGTGCCTTTTAAAAGACTTAATAGTTTAGAATTGTGCCCCAGCTTCCTTCAACAAGGGATTCACACTATCAGACCACAAAAACATCCACCTTTAATTCTTGCTTGCTTAGCAGGCAAGAATTAAAAGCACCCTATGGGTATCTTTGAGACAGAATGGCCAGATTAGAAAAAAAGAGATGAATTGAATTAGAATTAGAATAACAGAGTTGGAAGGGACCTTGTAGGTCATCAATCTAAGCCCCTGCTCAAGCAGGAGTCCCTACACACACCATTTCTGACAGATGGCAGTCCAGTCTCTTCTTGAAGGCCTCCAGTGATGAAACACCAACAACATCTGAGGACAAACTCTTCCACTGGTTGATTGTTCTCACTGTCAGAAAACTTCTTCTTATTTCCAGATTGAATCTCTCCTTGATCAGTTTCCATCCATTATTCCTTGTCTGGCCTCCAGGTGCTTTGGAAAATAGGTTGACCCCCTCCTCTATGTAACAGCCCCTCAAATATTGGACACTGCTATCATGTCTCCCCTGGTCCTTCCCTTCAGTAGACTGGCCATGCCCAGTTCCTGTAACCGTTGCATATTGCAGCTAGCATAAAGGACACCAAAGTTTGAACAGATGGGATCATGCTCAGCATTGCCTAATTTGGAAGGGTCTGGAGGCTAAATCTGTTTGAAAAAACTGATGAGGAAGACTAAGAGTTAAAAATGAAGGTATAACCAAAAAGGCAATCAGGCACATCACCAGTCGCTCAAGAACAACATTCACTATCCAAACGGTAGGCTTGTGTTGGAACCGTTTCACTTGTGACTAATGAATAGTTAACCAGAGACAGGCTGCTCAATATTTCTGGTTGCCATGGGAACTATAAAAGTCAGATTTCAGCTCATACAGTGTATATATTTCTAGGAGCAGGACAGAGCTCATTGAGTTAGGGATAATAAGTGCTCATGTGGGGACCTAGGTCAAGGCCTATTGCAAACGATCTCTATACACTCGGGGCATCTGTGTGTGGAATTCAAAAGCATTAAAAAAACCTCTGTAATGCCTATCAATATGCCTCATTCTGTCCACCATTTTGTGTTGATCATGTCCTGATAATTCTTTACTAATTTTGTGCTCTGTCCAATCCTTCATGATCAAGCCCTGGTCTACAGATAATAAGGGGTTGGCTCCACAGATCACCATTGTTTTACTCCTGCAAAGAGAACCAAGAAATAACCAATAGGAACTTTATAAGAATGGTATATTCAGCCCTCCTTCTGTTAAGCTCTCAGAGCAGAGAGATACCAACATTGCGTTATATCATGATGTCAGGGTTACAGGGTTTTTTTTTTTTTTGTAACTTCCAAACATTTTTAAATTTTGTTTGTAAATATCAATATCTGGCAAATAATTTTGATTTTTTTATGGACCCCTGAGATGGTCATGAGAGCTCCTCAGGGCTCCTTGGACCATACTTTAAGAAACATTGACTAAAGTTTCCAGCTACCTGAACAGACAAAACAGGAAAACATCCTGTTCAACTTTCTTTGCATCTACAATGAAAATTACAGCAAAAAACTGCTTAGGCTAACTGAAATTATATTTCCAGCCTCAGAAAGACTGGTTATTCCATCTCAATGTTTTTCCAACATATCTTTATTTTCAAGAACATATGCTTAGCGATATTACGGAATCAATGACATGCTTTTCAAATTTCATTATCAAACCATAGAATGAGTCATGTGATCCATTGAGAACAGTAGCTGTAGATTTCAAGGTTAAAGCTGATTGCTGGAATCAGGAAATAAATTAAATGACATAAATATAGGCTATGAAGTCTTTTAATGGATGAGAGAGAAAAAAGAAGCAGACAATTTAAAAGGTGACAATATCAGAAAGTTTCAATGATTACTGTTGTGAAAATAATTAAAATAAAAACAAACAAGACATTCAAAAAACAGGCAGTATTTGACTTTAAGGCTATGCCTGCCAGATGGCTGATATGAGGGCAAAAAGGAGGACATGGTGGGGTGAAGGTTAGGATAAAATTGTTGCTGAGGGAACAACCTTCATCCTGCTTTATCTCAGATGTCCTTTCTACATCACCAAAACATTTTTGAACACACTTTTTCAGTCTTTCGGAAGACCAATATTCAAAGTAGCTCAAATGAATAAAGTATTTCTTCATTGGCAAACTATTAGCTAGGCATCTTGAAGGATGGCTGAAGTTTCTGTCACACTTTAAAGACAGCAATTAGTGATGTTTGTTCTACCAGCTATTCGCTATAAATAATAGAAAGATCAAAGCTGGATGAATTAGTGTACCTAAATTGTCCCAGGATAAAACTCTAAGGACAGGACCACTTACAAGTGAGCCTTGAGCCTCCTTACTAATGAAGATTACAGCTCTGATGTTGGGGCAGCACAAAATACGCTGGGCCTAGAACTGGAAGAATGCACATTATTGTGACTTAACTGATTAGCTAAGAAAAGTAGCTTAAATTCAGTAAAATTGCTATTGCTAAGCCTCTCTTTCTGTGGTTGCAAGCACAGGATAGATCTAGTTGCGCAGTGCACAGTAGAAGTAATTCTTTCATTTATGGTTATCTCCCAAAGCAAAATACCATGAAGAGTTTTATTTTTCTGGCTGAGATCCACACCCCTCTTCACTATGCATTTTTTAGAAACACCCCTATATAATATACCAATATTCCCATGATAGACAATAACAAGGTTGCAGCTGGGTTAATGGTGCACATTCCTCCTGAGAGTGCTAATGTCCTAAAGTGATTAAGAGCTCACACTCAGTTATATTAAGTCAGGGTTAGAATTAGGGTTAGGGTTAGAATCAGGGTCCTGGCCCATAATATCTGCTGAGGAAGCAGGCAAAGGAACAGCATTGACGCAAGCGTTGCTACCAAGATGGCCATGCCTCCTGACAAAAATAACTCCCTTTGTTTCAATAAATAGCCTCACACTTCCTGTGCCTGCCTATGTGTTGTATGTGTGTGTGTGTATGTTTGGTTCCTTCTATATTTACTTCTGATTATCTCAATCTGTGGTCTCTGCTTGAGGCAAGGAAGGTTTTTGCTCAAAATGACAGGAAATTCACAGACAACACGGTCGGGACAGCTTACTTTCAACCCAATTGTGCAGAACTGACTTCAGTCTTATCTGCCCGGCAGTCTTGCATCCACAGGGTACAGTTACAGAGGCAAGCAGGAAAATCAACACTGTAATCAGGGCAAAGCTACTAATGTGGCCTAGAGGGGCCATTTCTAAACTGAGGCAACACAAGTTGGGTTAGTTTCATCTTGATCCTAAGATAATAAGCTCCTGAAAGGTCACGAGGACTCTGCTGCAGGTTGCTTTTTCAAGTTCAGGCTGCTTTAATGCAATCAAAGCTCATCTCCTTTCAGAGACTCTCACAAAGAAAGTGAGTCTCCCTGAGAGATCAAGGAGATGCTTGAAGATCATAGTAAACATTCCAGGCCCTGTCTTTTCTCAGTCAACATTGATGTTGCATACAGATTTAGTGCCATCTCAGATGTCAGATGCCTCTTTTATTATCTCTGGAGATTGATAATGGCCAATAAAGTCAGATGTTTTTCCTTCCAAATGATACCCCGTCTTTCCCTTCCTTCTTCCCTCCCTACCTCATCTTGCTCAGAATTCACTTCCTGAGATAGAACAGGTAGAAACTGCAGCCTGAAAAAGTGCAATTCAGAAGTGACATTCCATGTCCTCCTAGTCTTTTCAGGATGTTTAGAAAGCTTGCTCATCCCCCAAGTTTTATTCATAAGCTCTAGGTCTTCCTGTCTATGGAGATTTTCAGTCATCCAAGTCATGGCTGTCCCAAGGGTGCTTTTTCAAGAGGCAACTGGACTTTCTTGCTTTTCTTTGAAGATGTTTTGCTTCTCATCCAAAAAGCTTCTTCAGTTGTGACTGGATGGTAGAGGATGGAAGGGTTTATATTCCTTGCAGACAGTTGGTTATTTGCATTCTTTTAGAGAGTCCTTGAAGCTATTTGGTGATTTACCTGTGTCCTCAGGGTCACCTGAGTAGAGCAAATGGGTGTGGACTGTGTTGTGGAGCTGTGCTTTCTGCAGGATGTTTTCTGCCCTGCTTCCTTTCATTGTTGAATACAGGCACAGGCTGTTGTGTTGTCTGCAAGGTCTTCCTGATATTGTCTTCACTGTAAACACCCTTGTCTTTGCTTATCTCCAGACTTTCATCTCTGCAGAATAAATAAACGAATAGCTCTCAAAATGCCTGTTTGAAAACAAATGGCTGCTAAAACCAGCAAAAGAGTCAATGTCAATTAAGCAATTTACAGCTGTTATCCCAAATGTCCATATTTAAATAGACTGCAAATCAGTTGTTTGGATGCAGACAGGAGGTCTGAATAAGGTAGGGTGGCTGGATTGTTGCAAGCTCTTTTGGTTTAAGAAGGCTATCTTGGACAGGATAGGGCAAGGCAGGACAGGATGCTTAGAAGAAATCCTAAGTATACTAAATGCCACTAATAATTTGTCAATATCTAGTATTGTTTCCTGACTTAATTGTCCCTCTGCTTAAAAGCAAGAATAAATGACTACCGGTAATTAAAAAGTGTTAATGAGATAGCAATAGCTTACCCAGACATTTTCTCTTCAATAGGCCACAAGGCTTTTATTGCTTTAAATTGCTGCAATTCTTGCGGTACCTAAAAACCTAAAATATTGGTTGATAATATATGCCCACACTAATGCACTGGTATTCACATTAAATGTTTATTTATGATATTATTTTGTATGTTTTGAACAGGCTTACCTGTTTGCCTGACTTTTATAAGAAAATATAGTCCAATTTTGCTTTAGATGTATTCCATTTCAAATTTCCCATGTCTTCTGTGAA